TTTCTGTGAAAGAGGTTATAGCCCTCAAGGAAGAACTTGATGAAGTTCTAACAAACTTCCTAACAAATGCGGAGGACCTGGAATGTCTACATTCCAGCGATAGGAGTCATCCCACCAGGTTTCAGTGATGCCTATGATATCATATTTGTGGTGTTGTGCTTAAAGTTGGAGTTTGTCTTGTTTATTTCCCAATGATCTGTGCATTAGTGTAAAGACATGTGAGCCCCTGAGATCTTCCCCTGAGCTGTTTAATTGGGATTATTGTGCTTTTGGTACTTGGTCCTCGTTGTGTTTGTGCAGCCCTCCATTTAGCCTTTGGCGGTTCCCTGACATTGTGGGTAAAGTAGTATTCACAAGGCTGTTGTCCCCCTCCCCCGGTGGATCTAATTTAAAGTGCGCCTAATGAGATTGGCGGGTCTGTGAGCAAAAAGGTGTTTTCTTACTTGTGTGAGATGCACCCCATCCCTTGCCAGTAGACCATCCTCCTGGAAAAGCAGGCCATGGTCAAGGAAGCCAAAGCGTTCCTCCTGACACCATTTTCTAAGCCAGTCATTGACCTGTACTAATTTTCTGGCCCTTGTAGGACCGTGTCTTACAACTGGGAGGAGGGATGAAAAGACCACCTGTACATTACATTTTTTTAGCTTTGTTCCGAGAGCTTTTGAAAAGTATGCCTAGCAGTATCATTGGTTCCTACATGAATCAACATGAGGGGAGGACGGTGATGGGGCTTGAGGAGCCTTGGTGAGCCTCTGAGTGATATGGTGTATTTTTGCCCCCGGTAGGCAGCATATTTCTCGAGCCATCCCATCTGGTCTGGAAATGACAGCTTCCGTTCCTCTAAGGAGGGAGTCGCCTACTACCAAGACCTGTTTATTTTCAGGATTGACAGGGTCCCTTTTGCGCAATGTAGTGTGTAGGTCCCCAGAAAAGCGATCCTGTTGATGTGAATTGTGTAGGTGTAAAGTGTTGTTCTCCTCCTCAACATCCCCGGTGCATTCGTCAAGGACAATCCATTGAGATTTGTCCAAGAGCCTATCGTTCTCCTGTATGTGTTCCTGTTGCACACCAGAAAGTCAGAAATAAGCCAGATAATGTCAGGGGTGATTTGAATGCAATATTCCTGCTTCTTGGCAGGGGGTTGGACTGGATGGCCCATGAGGTCTCTTCCAACTCTTTGATTCTATGATTCTATGATTCTATGTGATCAGTGTATATCCCACTCAGAGCTCAAAACCTGGATATACTCTGTTCCTCTACATCAGGACATCTCAGCTGACATCTCAGCAGACTGATTAAAAAAAAACCTGCACTTTCCAGCAGTTGTAATGCCACAGATTCCCTGGGTCTGGCTCCAATACTGCAGTCATCATTCCAACCTTGAACTGGTTTCTGGAGTGTTTATGTGGACACAGCAACCCTGGTTCCTTTTAATCCACTTCCAAAATGGATTACAGTGTCTATGTTGAACCTCCCTTAGCCTAGGTCAGACCAGAGAATCTAGTCTGTGGGGAATGGTGGGGTGGTTCAGCACAGGCACATAATGCAGTGCCAAACTAGCATGAAACATGACAGTACAGGGCAGCCTTATGGGCAGATAAAGGTGCTGCCAAGCCCCACAGCCTAAATGCTAAATCTGGTTTGGAGCTGTTTTCCATCTCTCTGGCATTCTGAATCCACCACCCCCCTACATAGATTAAAATGGTACTTATCAGAGCTCCAACATGTGACTGAGCAACGCAGCTTGGAATTAGCAAGCCCCCTCTCACTTCATCCAAATTGTTTTGTAATTATGTTTATTAAAGTACTGGGGAGAATGCAGATGTAATGGCAAACATTCAGTGAGTAACATACAGTGGTTTGTGACCTGACAGCAACTGAGGACCCTTCCAGGAATAAAGGACAGGCTGTCCAGACAACATTCTGGACAGTCCCGAATTAATTTTCTACAAACCAGGACAAACCTGGTTGGTAGAGAATTAATTTGATAGTTAATTTATTTCACACCTTCTTGGAGACATGGGATAAATCAACTAAACTGTGGGAATACGCCCCCCCCCCCAGACCCCTTAGAAAATAAGAAAAACTTGTGTGGTATCCATTAGAAGCCTCGGCCGGCTCTCCTGGTATGTAGAAATGAAGCGCCAGGAGAACGCGGGGGGGGGGGGGGGGGGAGGAGGAGGCTTCTAATGGACACCATGTAAGTTTTTCTTACTTTTCTAAGGGGTCCTGGGGGGGAGGGCCTCCGGGCGTTCTCTCAGGCTAGTCCCAACAGAACATCTGGACAACCCACCCCAGAAAACAGACAGGATCCCAGTAACATCCACATTATTTTAACGCAGATGCTTCTGGGATAAAAGCCTGTCTGGATCCGGCCATAGAATCTCTTAGGGCCACATAGCTGCATAAAATCCCACATTATCTGCTTTGAACTGGGTTATATGGCAGGGTGGATTCAGATAACCCAGTTCAAAGCAGATATTGTGGATTATCTGCTTGATATTCTGGAAGGGCCCCTAGTCCACTTCATCTAGGTCCCTGGGTACACAGAAAACTGGGCGAGTTGGAAGGCACTGAACAGACTACGCTCTGGCACCATGAGATGCAGAGCCAAACTTAAGAAATGGGACTACAAAGTGGAATCCACGACATGTGAGTGTGGAGAAGAGCAAACAACAGACCACCCACTGCAATGCAACCTGAGCCCTGCCACATGCACAATGGAGGACATTCTTGCAGCAACACCAGAGGCACTCCAAATGGCCAGCTACTGGTCAAAGGACATTTGATAGAACACAAATTTTGTGTTTTGTTTGTTTGTTTGTCTGTTTTTAATGCAACACAACTGTTTTGGTTCACTCCTGACACGATAAATAAATAAATCTAGGTCCCTTCCACACAGCTGAATATATGGCAGTGTGGACTTAGATAACTCAGTTCAAAGCAGATATTGTGGGATTTTTTGCCATGATATTCTGAGTTATATGGTCGTGTGGAAGGGCCCTAGAGCTGTTAGGAATTGTGAGAGCTGAAGTCCAAAACATCTGGAGGAGCACAGTTTGAGGGCCCTTCCACACAACCATATAACCTAGAATATAAAGACAGGAAAATCCCACAATATCTACTTTGGATTGGGTTATCTTACTCCACATTGTCATACATTCCAGTTTAAAGCAGAAAATGTGGGATTTTATTCAGCTGTGTGGAAGGAGCCTGAGAAACTCTTATCTAGAGAACCTGAGGTGTTTTACCATTCTTTGCAAGCAAGTATATGTTTGGTTTGGTTTGCTTCATAGTTACAATATACAATACAATACTTTATTACAGTCACTGACCAGCACAAAATGGGGCACAATCGCCCTGGGAGGGGAAAAACAACTCCCCACTTAAGCAGTTATTTCAAAGTAGATTAGAAAACAATTTAAAATCACATTTTAAAATACAGGCTATTGTAACAGGTATGGAACCAAGGGTGGGGGAGATTATATGAGGAAGGCCAAAAGCGCTGGAGGGACACTAAAGGGGAAGGGAAGGGCACATTGCGAGTCTAGTAGCATTCCAGCTGTAACATGTTGCTCTAACTACATTCCCAACAGGGTGTTGCCTTGTGGGGTCAGTCATCGTCCATCTAATTTTAAGTGCTGCAGCACAAAACTTAGCAACACTGTAAGTTATTGTAGTGTTAGGGTTGTGCTTAGATTGGAATCAAGCTTCATATTTATATACTACCCCTTATTGAAACAGGTTCCCTAGAACTGCAAACAGTACCATAGATCTGCATATTACATGACTAGCTGTCCCCTGCCATGCATTGCTGTGGCCCAGTCTGTGAATAGATGTATATATGTAGTTTTGCACATGCGTTGTAAGGTATGTTTTATTTTTTGGCTTTTTAAGTCTCTTCCGCTATATTTTTCAGTGTTTTTATGAGTGATGGTCACTTATTGGCCCGACAGGTGTCTTGTGTCCAAATTTGGTGTCAGTTCGTCCAGTGGTTTTTGAGTTCTGTTAATTCCACAAACGAACATTACATTTTTATTTATATAGATTGTTAATGTTACCTCACTCTTTTCTTTTCAGTACAGTGGGCTGCTCCCAAGACAGAGCTGGGATATGTGGCACCCAACCCTGGTGGCTGAGGCCCTTTTCGCTATTGCAAACATTTTTAGTTCTCTCCGCCTAATCTCATTATTCACTGCAAATTCTCACCTGGGACCATTGCAGATCTCCCTTGGAAGGATGCTGTTGGACATTTTAAAGTTTCTGTTCATCTATTGCCTTGTGCTGCTAGCTTTTGCAAATGGACTCAACCAGCTGTATTTCTATTATGAGACTACTGAAACTGATCGCTGCAAAGGGATAAGGTGTGAAAATCAAAACAATGCATTTTCAACGTAAGTTAACATGTCCCTTCCTACTATTTAACAACATTTTTTAGTGTTTTACAGAATTCTATTTACTTCTGTTTGGGTCTCCCGGATTTTAAAGCATATCATGACGCATGTGCGTTGATATGGATAAAAGATTGGATATTGTTGAATAAAGAAGATTTTTTAAATATAGAAGGAAATGATCTAAGAGTAGGATGGCATACTTATTTATGGTACAAAAGGGAAAAGAAATAAAAGAGTTTTGGTAACCATTATGTGAGAGTATCCCTATTAAGAGTATGGCAAAAATATAAAAGATACTTTTATTCTAAAACACCTTTATGGGTCTCTCCCATGGAAGCAAACGAGCAAAGACTTTTAGGATGGAGAAAATAGCCAACCTACAAAGATTTGTTAAATAAAGCTACAAACAATATTAAGCCTTATGAGGAACTAAAACAATTTTTTTCTAATATTACTTGGTTATATTATATGCAAATTAAAGAATATTACAATCAAAATAAAAAAATGGATTTTCCTGGGAGGAAACAGCGTGGGATAAAAATTTAAAATTGGAAAAGAAAGTAATATCAAATATTTATAATATATTACTTACCTGGCTGACTGAAAAAGAACAGGTTAAAAACTGTATGATAAAATGGGCTCAAAATTTAAGAAGACCAATTCAAATGAGGGAGTGGGAACAGATGTGGAACAAAAAATTAAAATATACATATGCAATGGAATTAAAAGAAAATTGGATAAAAATGTTCCACAGATGGTATACCACACTGAAGCAACTTGCTAAAATGTATAAAACAGTTTCTGATAAGGGTTGGAAATGTTCAGAACAAGTGGGTTCCTTCTACCATATGTGGTGGACTTGTAAAGAAGCAGTAAAGTTTTGGAGGGTAATTCATGAAGAGACGCAAAAGATCTTAAAAAGAACTTTTAAAAGAAAAGCAGAGTATTACTTGTTAGGCTTTACAGATTTGGATTTACAGTTGACGGAACAAGAGGACAAACTTTTTACATATACAACGACCGCCGCTAGAATTGTTTTTGCTAGAGAGTGGAAGCAAGACTCAGTATCACCCATACAGGATTGGGTGGAAAAAATCAGAGAAATAAAGAACATGGACAAACTGACTTTTTTGTTGAAGTAAAATACAGGCATGATAATAAAAAGAACGAATTGGGACAATCTTCATGACTATCTGGACAATTTGCGAATATAAAAAACAAGAGAGACAATTTTATTATCTTTAATAAAAAAATTATGTTTTTGAATAATAAGAATATTTTATCCAAGAAGATGGAATGGAAGTCACGTTTTTTCTATTTTATTTTTGGTGTGAATGTATTCTTGTAGGGTTTTTTTTAGGGTTTTATTTAGGATATCTTTTTTACTTCTTACTTTATTGGCCTTTCCCTCTCTCTTTTTTTCTTTATTTTTCTATACCTAATTGTTCTCACTCTTTCGTTGTATTCTATATAAAATTTAATAAAATTTCTTTTAAAAAAGGTTAGGAACAGGAAGAAGGAGAGAAAAAGGAGGAGAACGGTGGATGGGCTCCTAAAGTCCCTCCCTTGCCCGCCGCCATCAGCCAGCAGAAGCAGCCTTCTTCCTTTTGGCTGCCCCTTCCCCAGCTTTCCTCGCCTCCTCCTCCTCCTCTTCCTCCAAGTTGCCCCGAAGGAAGCAGCAGCCAGGAGGGAGGGAGGATGGGTGAAAGACTGCTCCCTTCTTCGCCAGTTCTTTCTTGCCTCCCTTCCTTCACTGTAGGAAGGAAGAAAAGAAAGAGGCAGAAACAAGTTTTATTTTTGAAGTCTCCCATTCCTCAGCATCCTGCTCCCTTCTTCCTCCAACTCCTTCTTTGTTTCCTCCCTCTTCTCCCTCATTTCTGTAGATCCTTCCTTTCTTTCAGTCTGCTTGCCCTGCTTGGCTGCCCCCAGCAACACACGCTCACACTTACACACACACACACACACACTCCTATTAACATCAAGACCGGGAGGCAGCTGCCTCTGTCACACTCCACGCAAGAGGATGGTGCTTCTGAGTGTAGGACCTTGCTTTCCTCCTTCCTTTCCTTCTTTCCCTCCTTCCTTCCCTCCATCCCTCCCTTCTCTTCATTCCTTTCTTCCTTCCTCCCTTTCCTTCCTTCCTCTCTTTCTTTCCTTCCCTTCCCTCCCTCCATCACTCCCTACCGTCCTTCTTTCTCTCCTTCCTTCTCCTTTCTTTCCTTCTTTCCCTCCTTCCCTCCCTCCCTTCCCTCCCTCCCTTTTTCTTTCTTTCCTGTCCCTCCCTCCATTCCTTTCCTTTCCTTTTTCCTCCCTCCCTCCTTCACTCCCTACCCTCCTTCTTTCTCTCCTTCCTTCTCCTTCATTTCCTTCTTTCCCTTCTTCCCTCCCTCCCTTTCCTTCCTTCCTTCCTTCCTTTTTCTTTCTTTCCTGTCCCTCCCTCCTTCCTTCCTTTTCCTCCTTCCCTCCCTTTCCTTTCCTTCTTCCTCCCTTTATTTCCTTYCCTTTTTTCCATCCCTTCCTTCCCCTTCATTTCTCTCCCTTCCTTCCTTTCTTCTTCATGGCTTCTCTYTTTTTTCTGTGGCTCCTTCTTCTTCAACTCCTCCCTTCTTTCCTTCTTTCCTCCCTTCACAGCTTCACAGCTTCACTTTTTCCATGGTTCCTTCTCCCTTCTTATTCAGCTCCTTCCTTTCTTCACTTTCTCCTCCCTCTGCTTTTCTCCCATTATTATCATTACATATTGTTTTTATGATTAATCACTATATTTTAATTAAGTTCAATGTGTAACTATGAAAATACATCCTGCATATCAKATGTTTACATTACGATTCATAACAGTAGCAAAATTACAGCTATGAAGTAGCAATGAAAATAATTTTATAGTTGGGGGTCACATGAGGAGCTGTAATACCAGTAGTTGCTGCATTTCCCATCCTTGGCTTATACTCAAAATATTAATTCTCCCCCCCCCCCCCATTAGTGTTTCTTTGTATTGACTCTTGTTTTCTAAAGTTTTAATTTGTATTTATTTTACTCTTGGTAACTGAGGATGATATATACATCTTAGGACCTAAGCACCCTAAAAGTACCTACTCCCATCTGATTTTGGAAACTAAGCAGAGTCAGCCATAGTTAGTACTTGGATAACAGAAAATGTCCAGCAAGAAAAAGCCATCAGGAGCATTTCATCGTAAAAGGAAGTTGCAGCATTGCAAAGAAGATGAGAATCAAGCTAAAGCATTGCAAAAGTTTCACCATCATGTGCTACAAAAACATAGAGACAGCTAAATTGACTGAATCGGATCATGACAATGATAAGATACCAATATCTGAGCTTTTATTTGCATTCTTAAAAAAGTTAATTTGTGTTAATTCTATGTAATGTAACTATATGAACATAATATTGTAAGTAAACTTCTGGTTTGTAAGGTAACTCTTTTATTCACCTCTACCTTCTACCTTTTATTTTTCAGTGATTGGTTTTTGGGGGGGGGGGCACCAAAATACTGTTTGTGTCATGAATGATATTTCAATGACTTTGAAGCATAGGTTCTTTTTATTGCAATTTCCAGTGTGAGAAGGTATGTGATGATTACAGAAAACATTTAGAGAAAGAATGACATTGGACATACAGACATATAGATTCTGTGCAATTACATTGGATCTACAATTACATTGGTTAACAAACAAAGGGGAAATACATTTTTGACATTCACACACATGTACACGCATTCATCCACATGCATCCAAAATATTACCATATCCTTTTCTCCCTCCTTGGAAAAGCACCTGTTAGGCCAGACCCTGCTTTCCTGTAACCTGCCAACATATAGTTCCATAACTCCATGACTTCAAATTCTGAAATGCCAAAACTTCTTTCCCTAAGAACAATGCCAAGGACCAGATCTCTGTTTTCCATACAGCAGAACCTGACTCCCTGCACAAAATCTAAGACTCCAAAAGCACACTTCTTCCTCTTCTCTTGAGAAAGAAGCCCCAAAGTGACCAGAATCGTGCTTTCCCATAGCATATCTGTCACTCTCCTTAGGTACACTATCTCTCTCCTTTCCATGGAGCAGAGCATAGCAGGTGGAACAGACACCTTGAGCATTATTAGACTGAGTCTTTTATAGTAATATTTTGTTGATGTAGTCCCAAAGTTGTAAATTGATGACTTCCATCCTGGCTCCATCTCGGTTTCCTGGCCAGATGTTGATCTTCTTGATTGATGTTGATCTTATGCTGACTTCCTTCTTAACATAAGGAAAGTTGCAAACATTGCCTTAACTTGAAAGAACCATTGTCACAGTTCTTATCCATTCTCATTAGGAGGTTTTGATCACAATTCCAGCAAGCAGGTAGTTAGTCATTGCAGGCCTTAATATTATACTGGTGTTTCAAAAATTATTAACTCCAACCACACATCCTTCCATTCTTCCATTCATTCCCACACATCATATTAAAATCGTATTTGTCAAATCTGCACACTGAATTTCTTGTGACATTTGCTTACACTTGAAAATTACCTAGGGCCAGCCCTGCTTTCACAAGCAAACAGTGCAGAGTTGGCAGTTTTGCTGCCGGATAAGAAGGAGACAACAGAAGCAAAGAGAAATGAGGAGCAGCGGAGACAAGAACTGAGGCCCTTCTTCTTTATTGCCTCCTTCTCCCTCTAAAACACCCAATCTAATGTTAAATTTTGACATAACTTGGAGCCCAAGATCCAAATCTTTCTAAATAAAGATCCAATTCCCCTTAAAATTTCATCCCCGCTTCCAAACACTCCAGCCTGCGTCAACAACCTCCCCAGGCTGAACTTGGGTAAATGCTGCCTCAACTTGGCCTTGCCTCAGGTTCAGCTGACAAAGGTTTCATGCTTTCCCCTGAGTTAGAGGGAAGACAGCTAGGCTAGTCATGAAGCAGAGCTGGCAGCAACAATTTTAACTGCTATCCTGCTTTCCACAGGCTCATTCGGCCTGAGGAAGTGGGACAAAATCCCCTATAGCCTCCTCCCCCTGTGTCATGGCAATGCCCCTCTGCGATACTCCGCCTTTCTTCTCTTAAGAGCTTGTACTTGTTGTTTGTATGGTATTTTTTATTTCTGATACTTAAATTATGAAGTGTTAAATTATTGTATAAACCTCCTGGTGCAGAAGGTAGAATTGTTTTAAATAGATGAAGCCTCCCTGTCCTCCAGAAGCTCTTTCTATTCCAATGGAAATGGGACCTTCCTATAATTCATGCTGGCATCCTAATGATTAAAGAGTGAGCATCCCTTTTCCAGCATTCAAAAAGACAAAATGCTCCAAAATCCAAATTTGTCCTTTGCTTTTTCTTTCTGATGTTTCAATGCACCCAAACTTTGTTTCATACACAAAAACATTTAAAATACGTATAAAATTGCCTTCTGCCTATATGTATAAGGTGTATCTATATATATAAATCTGTTAGGTTGGTTCAACGGGACAGCAAAACTTCACAACCCCCCAACGAAACTTAACCAAAATTCCCATGCCCATAACACAACCCACAAGGTACAAACATATCTACTCAAAATGAAAAACATCACAACACACAAAATGGCAAAATGGCAAAACAACAAAACTCAAACACCCCCAACGAAACTTAACCAAAATTCCCATGCCCATAACACAACCCACAAGGTACAAACATATCTACTCAAAATGAAAAACAACACAACAACACACTCACAAAACGGCAAAACAACAAAACTCAAAAACCCCAACGAAACTTAACCAAAATTCCCATGCCCATAACACAACCCACAAGGTACAAACATATCTACTCAAAATGAAAAACAACACAACAACACACTCACAAAACGGCAAAACAACAAAACTCAAAAAACCCCCAACGAAACTTAACCAAAATTCCCATGCCCATAACACAACCCACAAGGTACAAACATATCTACTCAAAATGAAAAACAACACAACAACACACTCACAAAACAGCAAAACAACAAAACTCAAAAAAACCAACGAAACTTAACCAAAATTCCCATGCCCATAACACAACCCACAAGGTACAAACATATCTACTCAAAATGAAAAACAACACAACAACACACTCACAAAACGGCAAAACAACAAAACTCAAAAATACCCCAACGAAACTTAACCAAAATTCCCATGCCCATAACACAGCCAACAAGGTACAAACATATATACTCAAAATGAAAAACAACACAACAACACACTCACAATACGGCAAAACAACTGAGCATGCGCATTGGCGCCCAGCCGCAAGTTCCCTGGGTGCGCACACAGCCTTCCGGCCAACGTTCCCTCTGTGGAAGCCATGCCCACTCCAAGCCCCGCTGCGCCGCTTCCCGCACACACACACCCCCTGCCGCACGCACACACACAACCCCACGCTCCATCACTCCCCCGCCGCCGCACACACACACGCAACCCCACGCTCCATAACTCCCCCGCCGCCGCACACACGCACGCAACCCCATGCTCCATCACTCCCCCCGCCGCACACACACACGCAACCCCACGCTCCATTACTCCCCCCGCCGCCGCACACACACACGCAACCCCACGCTCCATCACTCCCCCGCCGCCGCACACACACACGCAACCCCACGCTCCATCACTCCCCCGCCGCCCACACACGCAACCCCACGCCCCCGCCGCGCACACCCCACACCCCCCCCTCCCCCGCCGCACACACACAGCAACCCCACACTCCATCACTCCCCGCCGCACACACACACAACCCCACGCTCCATCACTCCCCCGCCGCACACACACACACAACCCCACGCTCCATCACTCCCCTGCCCCAATCTTACCTCCTTTTACTTCATGCCACCTCCAAACCCCACCCCGCCCCTTCCCGCCCTGTCAAAATCCAGGAAAGACAGGAAGGAAGGAAAGAAGGAAGAAAGAGAAAGGGAGGTAAAGAAAAAGGGGGAAGGAAGGAAAGTTAGAGAAAGAAGGAAGAAGAAAAGGAAAGAAAAGGAAAGATGGAAGGAAAGAAAAGAGAGACAGCAGAAGAGAAAGAAAAAAGGGGGAAGGAAGGAAAGAGGTAGAGAAGGAAGAAATGAGAGACAGAGGGAGGGAAAGAAAAAGGGGGAAGGAAGGAAGGAGAGAAGGAAAGGAAAAGGGGAATGAAGGACGGAAAGAGGGAGTGAAGGAAGGGCGAAGATGTAGAGAAAGAGGGAGGGAAGGAAAGAAGGAAAGAGAGAAGGAAGAAAAGAGACGAGAGAAAGAGAAAGGGGAAGGAAGGAAGGAGAGAAGGAAAAAAAGGAATGGAAGGAAGGAAAGGGAGTGAAGGAAGGGGGAAGATGTAGAGAGGGGGGGAAGGAAAGAAGGAAAGAGAAGGAAGAAAAGAGAGACAGCAGAAGAGAAAGAAAAAGGGGGAAGAAGGAAGGAGAGAAGGAAAGAAAAAAGGGAATGAAGGAAGGAAAGAGGGAGTGAAGGAAGGGGGATGTAGAGAAAGAGGGAGGGAAGAAAGAAGGAAAGAGAGAAGGAAGAAAAGAGGCAAAGAGAAAGAAAAAGGGGGAGGAAGGAAAGAGAAGAGAGGAAGAGGAGAAGGAAAAGAGGGAGGAAGGAAAGGAAGGAAAGGAGGAAAGAAGGAGAGAAAGGAGGGAAGGTTGGCCACGCAACACGTGGCGGGTAAAGGTGTTATTTCTATTATTATTATGCTATTATTCCTATGAGACACTGGGGGAATGGGAGAGGTGTCAGGTCCCAGAGGCAATGCATTGCATTATTGTTATTGTTATGATGGTGGTGAAAAAAAAGGAAATAAAAAGAGAAAGAAGGAAGCAAACAGGGAGGGAAGAAAGGCAAAGGAAGAAAGGGGGAGGGAATGAAGGAAAGAGAGAAGGATGAAACCAAGTAGTGAAAGAAGGAAAGAAAGAAAGAGGTAGAGAAGGAAGAAAGGAGAGAAAGGGGAAGGAATAGGTAGGTACCTCTCTTTCATAATAGTCCAGATATCTACCTCAACTTTGATAAGTTTAACTATAGACCACAGCAACGTGTGGCAGGGCACAGCTAGTAAAACATAATTGTGTGTCTAGTCTTGGGTCCTATCTCAAAGATATCTCATTATGTATTTCTACGCAATTACAGGCATTCCAAAGTACTTCTGGTTCCAATTATTTCAGATAAAATCTACTCAATTTATAAATTCTGGAACTGGAAATTTAATTTCATGGGTTTTTTTTTTCATTTGATACTTTAAGCTAAAAGTTTTAAATCTTATTGTACAGATGTGATATTTAAAGCAGTTCTCTTTTTAAAAAATACTTCTCTTTTTTAAAAAAAATATTTCCCGTGCATATGCTTGGAAAATATAAATGTAACTTACTAGCAATTATTCCTTTCTCTTCTTTTTCAGTTTATTTGAAACTCTCCAGTCACTCTTTTGGTCTGTCTTTGGACTCATCAACCTCTATGTCACCAATGTTAAAGCACGTCATGAATTCACCGAATTTGTTGGGGCCACTATGTTTGGTACTTACAATGTCATCTCTCTGGTCGTCCTGCTCAACATGTTGATAGCCATGATGAACAATTCCTACCAACTCATCGCTGTCAGTTCCTATTTTTTTGCCTTGCTTTCATGATTGTGCGCCATTGAAAAAGAAGCAGAAATCAGTTAGAGGCCAGAAATTTTTCTTTTGGGGATTAAAACTCCTAGAATTCCCCAGCCAATATGGCCAGTAATTATACAATCTGGGAAATTCTGGCTGTCATTGTGCATGAAAGTAAGATTTATAAGCTCTGCCCTGAACATCCCAGTCGCTGTTAAATTTCAGCTAAATTTTCAGCAGATATGGAACAGTAGAATTAATGTAGTCTGACATTATTATTATTATTATTATTATTATTATTATTATTATTATTATTATTGTCGAAGGCTTTCATGGCTGGAATCACTAGGTTCTTGTGGGTTTTTTCGGGCTATAGGGCCATGTTCTAGAGGCCTTTCTCCTGACGTTTCACCTGCATCTATGGACAAGAGGGATCCTCTCACCTCTGCAGGAGTCTACCCTATACCATGCAGCTGTGGACAAGTCTACATAGGGACCACCAAACGCAGCATTGCCCAAACACGAATCAAGGAACATGAAAGGCACTGCAGACTACTTCAACCAGAGAAGTCAGCCATAGCAGAGCACCTGATGAACCAGCCTGGACACAGCATATTATTTGAGAACACAGAAATGCTGGACCACACCAACAACACCATGTCAGACTACACAGAGAAGCCATTGAAATCCAAAAGCATGTGGACAATTTCAACACAAAGGAAGAGACCATGAAAATGAACAAAATCTGGCTACCAGTATTAAAAAGCTCTAAAATTACAACAGCAAAACAGCAGAGAGGAAACAACCAGGCACATCTTAACACCTCTCAACAAAAGATTTTCCCAGGCTCAGCCAGGCCTTCAAATGCTAATGAAGGTGGTCAGTTGAAACATTCACACCTAGCTCCAGCAGAGAAGAGCTCTTTGCCCCACCCCAGCCATTCCAATATATAAACCCATTGTCCTAATTCCAACAGACCTCACTACCTCTGAGGATGCTTGCCATAGATGCAGGCGAAACGTCAGGAGAAATGCCTCTAGAACATGGCCCTATAGCTGAAAAAACCCACAAGAACCTATTATTATTATTATTATTATTATTATTATTTCTTACCTTATATTTTTATGGTTTGAGGCGGGTTACAACATAGCTAAAACACATAATCATCATAAAAATTATGAAATACATATATTAAAACTTATTTCTAGAAATACATATTAAAATACACAGAACAAAGATTAAAATACAGTGAATATAATATGCACTGTAACTGCAAATTATAGTTTGGTGATGCACCAACACTCTTGATAAGAGAGGAATAAGGACCTTGTAAAGTTACAACTCCCAAGATTCCGCAACATTGAATCATGGCAGTTAAAGTGGTGTTAAACCACATTAATTCTACATGCAGTATAGATCCAACCAAGGTCTGGCTTTAGTACCTGACACAAGTTGGAGATCAGCCTCCACTTTCCCAAGAAGTCATCTTATTATGTTGCATTTTATTTGTCTCCTTAATTACCTTATCCCAAAATGCCTTGGTGATCTCACATGTCCATCGCATATGAAAGAATGACCCTTTCTGTTTCTTACACCTTCAGCAAATTCCTTGTTGTGGTTTATCTATTTTTGCCAATGTTGCTGAGATGATATAGCATGTATGAAACATTTTATATAGATTCTCCCTGATTGATCCAGATAGTGTAAATTTGAATTCTTTGTTCCATAGGTATTCCCAGTTGTCTAATTCTATTAGTCTTCCTACGTTCTTGGCCCAGGATATCATTCCTATCTTGACTCTGTTGTCTTCCAAGTTATAGCTTAATATGTATTTATATAATCTGGAAATTAACCCTGTGTTTTTCTTTTTCCCATATTCTTTCCAATTTTGATTTTTTAGTTGCAAATCCCACTCTCGTGTCTTTTTAAAATATTTCATACAGTTGATGATAGCAAAAACTTATCCTTTTCTTACTCTTTATTTATTTCTGTGTTTTTCCTTCACAAGTGGGTCTTGTGGATCGGTAGGCTTTTCCATGCATTTTTCTTAAAACAGCCACAAGAGAGCCAACTGTAGACTGGTGTCACCATTCAGTGTTAGGGTACATCTACACTGTAGAATTAATGTTGTTTGATTCCACTGTGATTTAAGTTTTAACTGAGATGAGAGCTTGCATCCCTCCTTGGCCATGGACACTGGATGACCTTGGGCAAATCGCAATCTTTCATTCTCAAAGGAAAGTAAGATCAAATCCCTTTTGAACAAATTCTGTCAAGAAAATCTTGCAATAGGGTCACCTTAGGATTGCCATATCTAAAAAATATTTTCCAGTACACATTCAAAACCAGAAAGAATATGAAATCAAGAATGAAATCTAATATGAAATCAGTATCCATTTTAATATTTATTTAAGTCCTCTGTTTCCTTTATTTAGGATCATGCAGACATTGAATGGAAATTTGCACGAACAAAACTCTGGATGAGTTACTTTGAAGAAGGGGGAACTTTGCCCACTCCCTTCAACGTCATACCAAGTCCCAAGTCTCTCTGGTACCTCGTCAGATGGCTATGGAAGCAATTGTGCAGGAAAAAGATTAGAAGGAAACCTGAAAGTTTTGGAACTATCGGGGTAAGAAAGCATATTCCTTTCTCCATGCCCTTCAGTCTTTATGTACATCTGTTAGTCATGTATACCAGGAGCTAGCAAATTAAGCAGATGCCAAGGCTAGGATGCCCACAAAGTATCTGGCTTTAATCTCTCGGTTGTCGCTCCTATGTCCTTGGGAAACCAACACAAAGTGAAAATGCATTTCCAATTAATGGCAAAAGGAGGTAATTATTCTTGCTATATTCCAATCCAGTAAAAATTATAGATATTTTTTAGAATTTTAACCCAGCAGCACCTACCAACTATACAACATTAACCTTCAGCTAAATAATCCTCCAAGCCATATGTATAATAATATAAAAACATCACTTTATGAAAGCAATTTTACTCCGATACCTCCTTAACTGGTGTACATGTTTACAATGCATAGATGAAGTATGTATTCAATAAAGTATCTCTGAATGGTGGTTTATTGGAGAAATAATATCATAGAATCATAGAGTTGGTAAAGACTTCATGGACCATCCAGTCCAACCTCCTGCCAAGAAGCAGGAAACTTGCGTTCAAAGCACCCCCAACATAGAATCATAGAACATTGAGTTGGAAGAGACCTCGTGGGGCATCCAGGGAGTTGGAAGAGACCTTGTGGGCCATCCAGGGAGCCAAGAAGCAGGAAGCTAAGAAGCAGGAAAATGACATTCAAAGCACCCTCGGCAGATAGCTCTTACAGTCAGGAATTTCTTCCTCATGTTCAGGTGGAATCTCTATTCCTGTAGTTTGAAGCCATTGTTACGCATCCTAGTCTCCAGGGCAACAGAAAACAAGCTTGCTCCCTCCTCCCTCTGACTTCCCCTCACATATTTATACATGGCGAACATGTCTACTCTCAGCCTTCTCTTCTGCAGGCTAAACATGCCCAGCTCTTTAAGCTGCACCTTATAGGGCTTGTTCTCCAGAACCTTGATCCTTTTAGCCACTCTTCTCTGGACACATTCCATCTTAGAGTCACATCTCCCATCAATTGTGGTGCCCAGAATTGGACAAAGCACTCCAGATGTGGTCTGGACCAAGGCAGAAACGAGCCAGGAGTCCCCCATTCTGTATCTTTGCATTTCATTTTTTCTACCTAAGTGGAGTATCTTGCATTTAGAATCATAGAATCATAGAGTTGGAAGAGACCTCGTGGGCCATCCAGTCCAACCTGTAATAAGAAATTCAATGTGCAAATTTGATAAATGTGAATTTAATATGATGTGTGGGAATGAATGGAAGGATCGAAGGATATGTGGTTGAAGTTAATAATTTTGGAAACACCAGTATAATATTAAGGCCTGCAATGACTAACTACCTGCTTGCTGGAACTGTGATTAAAACCTGTTAATGAGATCTGAATGAGAAACCCTGATAAGAACTGGGACAGTGATAAAGGAAATGTTTGCAACCTTCCTTATGTTAAGAAGGAAGTCAACACAAGCCTTGTGTTTGTTAACACCAATCAAGAAGATCAACACTGAGATGGATTCAGGAATCAAGAAGATCAACACTGAGATGGATCCAGGATGGAAGACGTCTATCATTAATTTACAACTTTGGGACTACATCAACAGAATTTTCCTATAAAAGACCAAGTCTAATAATGCTCAAATCGTGGCAGACTGAGGAGTCTGTTCCACCCGCCATGCTCTGCTCCATGGGAAGGAGAGAGGTGGTGTATTCAGAGAATGTCAGATATGCTATGGGGAAAGTCGGGGGGGGGGCTGAGTTTCGGGGGGGGCTGAGTCTGAGTGAAAGAGGGTCTACCCTAGCAAACCTTTTATATCGTTACCCCAATACCCCCAAGCATATGGGATATATTGAGCATGATGATCAGATCATGATATGAATAAACATAACAGTTTAAATAATGCACCAGTAAGGCCTTTTCGTGAACCACCATGAGAATTTTGGGGGGGGGCTGAAGCCCCTCAAGCCCCCCGCCCCGGCTACATGCCTGACAACTGGTGTATTCGGAGAGTGTCAGATATGCTATAGGAAAGCATGATTCTGGACACTTTGGGGCTTCTTTCTCAAGGGAAGAGGAAGAAGTGCGCTTTTGGAGTCTTAGATTTTGTGCAGGGAGTCAGGTTCTGCTGTATGGAAAACAGAGATCTGGTCCTTGGCACTGTTCTTAGGGAAAGAAGTTTTGGCATTTCAGCGTTTTGAAGTTATGGCGTTATGGAAGTTTTGGAACTATGCGTTGGCAGGCTGCAGGAAAGCAGGGTCTGGCCTTACAGGTGCTTCTCCAAGGAGGGAGAAAAGGATATGGTAATATTTGAATGTCTGAGGATGAATGTGTGTACATGTGGTGTGAATGTTGAGTGAAAATGTAATCCCCCTTTGTTTGTTTGTTAGCCTTGTAATTGTAAATCCAATGTAGTTCCATAGAATCTGTATGTCTGTATGTCCACTGTCATTCTTCGTCTAAATGTTTTTCTGTAATCTGATATACCTTCTCACACTGGAAATTGCAATAAAAAGAACCTATGCTTCAAAGTTATTGAAAAGTCATTCATGACAAACCCCCCTGCCAAGATGCAGGAAAATCGCATTCAAAGCACACCTGACAGATGGCCATCCAGCCTCTGTTTAAAAGCTTCCAATGAAGGAGCCTCTACCACACTCTGAGGCAGAGAGTTCCACTGCTGAACAGCTTTCACAGTCAGGAAGTTTTCCCTAATGTCCAGATGGAATCTTCTTTCTTATAGTTTGAAGCCATTGTTCTTTCTCGTGGGCTCTGTGGAATGCACACATTTGGTACTCTGATGCCCGTGTGCAGCAGTTCCAGAAGTTTGTAGTTAATGAGGCTTGGCTGTAGCCCCACCCACCTTACCCTGAGGGCATAAAGGTCCCACGTGGTGTTACAGAGGTAGTTCCCTTTTTCCGCCTTATGAAGCAGCAGCTTCGGAACATTTCTCTCTCCTTTCCCTTCTGCCATTCAGGTTTGGCTATTTTTCCCTTTTGGCATGGACTCCACCTTTAAGAGGTGTTCTGTCTGTGGAAGTAACTTCCCAGACTCTGATGCGCACCACCGCTGCCTCCTCTGTTTGGCGGAATCCCATGTCGTTGCCTCCTGCCTGGCCTGCAAAGCCTTTACACCCCAGGCACGGAAGAGAAGGGAGATGCACCTCAAAGCACTCCTTTATGAGTGCGCGCTCTTCCCCTCTCCCATCATGCCGGCAGCCCTTCCAACTCCAAGGGACACACCAGCTCCCACCCTCTCTTCCTCACCTTGGCCGTCCTCCTCCTCGAAGCGACCGCAACCATTGTCGCCCTCTCCCTGCAGCTCCTCCTCTTGTCGGGACAAACCTAAAAAGAAGGAGGCAGAGTCGGTGATGCAGACCACTCCCCATCCGGGCCCACCGGCCCAGCCGTCCCTGGACCCACCCACACCAGCTCAGAGGCCGCGCCTTGCGCCGAGCCCACTCCCATGGACTCCGGGCAGAGAAGTGGCAGTGGCCCACCCCCTGATGAGAGGGCAGCACCCCGCCACCGCGAGGAGCCGCCTGCCTTGGTGCCACTGACGGCCTTGGCTGACTTGGAGGTGGATGATCGCCACTACCATGCTTTGGGCCCAAGTCCCTTTGTATCGTCCATGTGTGTTTATGTCTGTACTTGAATTAAGCGGCCTAAGAAAGGGAAGCCTGAATGTTCTGCTATTGATTCACTGACTTGGATTGATCATAGCATTTGATCTTCGCCTTCAGCATTAACTGCAACTAGCTCCTCTAATCTGCCATTTACAAAAGTACCATAGCTTCTTTTTTCTTTTTCTTTTTTTGATACATCCCAACAATCAACTTTTTGGGACTTATTTCAATAAACATTATTCCAAAAGTAAATTTTCCTTAAATGAAATTCTATACATTCCTTAATTATGTATCACCCAACAAACCCCCCATCCCCCCATCCCCCCCACCCCCCTGGAACAGCAATTCTAAATCATGTCATTGCATCAATTTAACCATGAGGAAAGCCTGGTTCAAAATACTGTATTTGTCATCTATGTCTATTTTGTCAATTAACACAGACCATTTCCTAAACCAGTCTTGGTCTCTTTGACTATTTATATACTTGTTTTTTCTTTGATTGATAAAATCATTAATTATATATTCTGATAGATAAGCCCACCAGGTTTCCAAATCCTATTTTGTATCTTCTCTCCATCCCCGGGCTATTGTGGCCTGTATTGCGACTGTCATATATTTTCGGATTTCTGTCCAATTATTGTTATCTTCCTTTGCCTTTATGGTGAGGGACATGAACTTGGCTTTATTCCACATTAATTCTTTCCCTATTATGTATTC